ACACACACACACACAGTCTCACACCCAACCAAACACCCACTCTGCAAAGTTTGGTCAAAGAACCACTGGATGAAAGCAAAACGTCAGGAGAGGGCTCCATCTAGTGGTGACTGATATGACTCACCAGTTGTCCATTAGAAGCTTACAGCAGCACAACAGTAAATATTCATGACCACATTAAACGGCACAGCGTGTGTGTTAAACTGGTGGAGCAGGTCGGCCGTTAATCGTAGATGTAGTGGGTCGATCCCTGGCTCCTCCTGTCAATGTGTTGAAGTTTACTTTAGCAATCAAACCAAACTTTATTCATAAAGCCCTACATCAAATGCAACTCTGAGTGCTGAACACAAAAGAGCACACGCTTACAGAAAAGAGATTTAAATGAATTAAATAAAGGGCACAATTGGACATACATGTCTGTTATCTTAAAATCTTAAAATGCACATGCCTGGTTCCAAACCTCTGATACACTCTCCACATTTCCAATTTTATCAGCAATTTAAAGTTTATTTTGGCTATTAAATTTGTTTTTTTACCCTTGGACACAGTACCGTGCTTAATCTGCCAAAATATGTGTGTGATTGTCTACTCATCCATATGCCTGGATGCCTGGACTGCAGGGAAAATGATTTCGCTGCAGTGATAAAATATTGCTGCTTCAACTGCTGCCCTTTGTCAACAGTCGTAAACACTATGCACATGCAAAGGCGTGTAGGTAACTGGAGAAGTACAATTCATGTACGATTGATTCAACTTGCTCATCAGATTTAATGAGACTGTTTTTATTCATTTGGAACCATGTACGATGTAGGCCAAGTTATCTATAATTAACTCTAACAAGAGTTGTGGTGTTAAAGAATTGTTACTGATTAAATAGAGTGGTGTTTTCTGAACTGCAGCATCTTTTTTCTTTTAATTTCTTACTTTATATAATCTACCATCTTGGTTATTTAAATGTATATGCTCTATGGATCATGCTAATTTTGCACTTGCCAACTCAGTCGTAGAGATTCAGGGACACAGGGACGTGAGACAGCTTGTGTGAGACTCTTACAGCTTTCCAAATAATCATTTCAAACTTGTCTCTGATACTGAAAGCAAACACAGAAAGAAGCCACCTCAAACGGCCATTATGCCTGACTGCAGGTGTAGCCTCGAGGCATTTTGTTCTTTCTTTGTATGCAAGAAAGTGTGACATCAAATCAAATAGCAAATTCTGACAGATTCATAATTTCACACAGTACTGTACCCGCTCTGCAGAGCATGACTCGAGACCTTTTCAGAGATGTTTCGGCTGACTGCAGGTTTTAGTATCAATAAGATCCTCCAAGCAGCACCTTCAATAAAAATTATACTTTAATTACTGCTTTGCATGCTGCAGTAATTCCTCCTTCTACTACAATACAGCAAGCAAATCAGTTCTAAAAATCTAAATAACAGCATATTGTTGGTTTGGTGTTTGCTAAGCTGAGCAGTAAACTCTTAACCTTTTGGAAAAAGTCTTGTTCAATTAATGTTAGATTGTCTGTGCACCTTTCACCACTACAAAGAGAAAGTAGGATGATATAAAGCAGTGTGCTGACAGTGTTTTCTTTCTGTGTTTTTGCCTCCAGCGATGGCAGAAGTCGGGGACTCACTTGGAGCACCTCGTCTCTCGGTTCTGTCTGGACTCGGAGATGGCTCTGGACGGGATGGACTCCTCTCGAATGCTGGTCATCAGCCCCTGTGAACTGAGTGCGTACACACAGAGATGGGAAGTCCCCTTCTCCTGACCCCAAACCCTGTGACCTTTCACCTCCCAAAAAACCTGCCCTGTCATCCAACTACAGCCTCAAAGACCTGGGCAGAGACAGCTGCTCTGACAGAGTGAAGATGCATGAGCACATCATGTCAAGGAGCTGCGTTGAGAGCAGCTGAATGGAAAGTTTATAAAGACTTTTAGATGTCTCTCCGCTGTTTTTCATGAGAAGAAATCAAGTGTGGGTTCGTCGGGTTTGTGAGACACATCAGAAATGTCTGGTTTGTTTGGTCTGGAGATTAAAGTGTGTATGTCTGAGGCTGTTGAGACGTTTGGGGAAGAGTTTGAACCAAGTGCACCTTAAAACCCTGAAAGATTTGAGTCTTGTAATCTTTTGCAGTGAACCTGTCTGTTTTTGAGGATGTTTAAGGATTTGGAAATTAAAACCAAGCACAATTTAAGTTTTTTGTTTACTTGGTCAAACAACTGTGTCTGTCTTTCCTGTAGTAGAAGCATCCAGTTAAGATTGTTCAATGACAAATCCATTCTTGTTGGGACCCAATCAGGAACTCATCAGAGTAAAGCCTCTGAACCGACATGTTGGTTTTGTCTTTTTTGAACTGAAGCACAAACCAAATCTGTTTCATCTCTTGTTGCTCTAAATTCCAAGATTCTTTACTTGATAAACAGCATGCAATCCCAATGTACTCATGTTTTTCGAACCCAGCCGATCAACTTTTGACCTGATTCAACAAGCAGGATTATCAACGTAGCTGGCACTGAGTAAAACCCCAAAGAAGAAAAACTTTTCTAACTTAACCCCCAGATTGCTTTTTACTAAAAGAAAGTAAAAAAGTTGACAGAACAAAAAGATCTGTAATGGGTAAGTCCTCACTCTTTACTGTTTGAGATAGTTTCTACCTTCTACTGTTCTGAAGTGTGCAAATTAAGTAGTTGGGACATCCTGCTGGCTGTAGGCCGTTTATATGGCCATTGAAACCCCTAAAACCTTTGCATAGCGCAGCTTTCTCTGACAAGTCAGCAGAATTGATTGCAGCATGGATGAGAAGTTAAGACACGAGGGCAGGAGGGCAAAAGCAAGGAGGGAACACAAACGCAGAACAGAGCAGAACAAACTAGCAGGCCCTGGCTGAGCTACCAGTGGAACAACAGACGTCAAAACAGTACAAACACAAGCTATGGAGGAAATTGAAACAGAGGGAATTAGCATAAACACAGACAGAAAAAGGGCTACAGGTGTACAGAGACATACAGGCACAATGGGAAGTAACAGAGAACAGCATGTATGCAGCACACTTCATACTGTCTGCTATTGTGTGGGTCGATCAGCAGGTTTGTGTTGCTTCAAGGATGCAGCTGCTGCGGCTGCTTCACATTGCACGTCCACCCCCCCTCCTCTGTGAAGTGCTGCTGTGCATGTGAGAGTTTTGGTTGTTTTCTTTTCTCGCATTAAGTCGATCAAACTGGGGGGCTGGGGAAGCATTTTTGCCTTTTCGCGCTTTCATGACGCTCGTTAGCATCATTCATGTTTCTTGTGCAAGTTTGGAGAATTTACAAAAGTGACCACGGTGCTTTGCTTTTTCAGAATAACTAAAAGTAGCCAGACATTTAGTTGACAGGACATGTGGTTGTTGTTTGACGGAGGAACTGCAGCTGTTGTTGAGATCACCTGTGACCCTGCAGTCATGTGACTGTGGTTTCATTTCAAATTCCAACAGAGTCAAAACACAACTCAAGTTAAGTACAGTCCTACAAATGTTGAAGTAATCGTGTCTGAATTTCCCTCACAATCATTCTGCAAGAAGGTTTTTTGAAATGGTTTTGGGAATAAATTCACCACAAATTGTGTTTCCATTTCCTGTGTTTGACATCATCGACTGCATCGTTTTGATATCCTGTTTGACTCCAGAATAAAGGTTTTATAACGGCTGCTTCTGTTTTATTGAAATACACGCAGGTACGGTATGCAGATAGTACAGACACACACACACGCACATTTCATCATTTGAAATCAATAAATTGAAAGTCAAATTGTATATGGATGTGTTTCTTTAAGTTATAATATTGTATAAAACCAAAGTTTTCACGTTAAATAAACACCTAAATTGGAGTAAAAATATTCTACTGTTTCTACTAGTATCACTACAACTACAGGTACTTAGTTGCAGTACTACTGTTACTACACACACTACCATTACTGCTTGTACTGCTTCCACTGTCATGACTACTTATATTACTACAAGAAGTACTACTACCACTAATGGAACTGCTATAGCTGTTACTATTGTACTTCTACTATTACTGCTGCTATTACTACGGCAATACTATCACTTTTTATTATTGCTACTGCTTGTATTTCAAGTACCAAAACCTGAAATATTATTAATAATAACAGTAAAATTACTACTCTTTGCACAATTATAACACCTATTACTAATTCTACTGCTCTGACCCCACTGGTGGAATAAAAAGTACATTTACTTGTACTTTACTTGAATATTTCCATTTTATGCTACTTTATACTTCTACTCCACTACATTTAATTGACAATATTAATTACTAGTTACTTTGCAGATTCAGATTATAGATACAAAACATACATTAACTAATAAATTAGGATGTATTATTATGGATTAGGCTACCCAGCCTTAGCCTCGATCTATCTATATGTATCTGAAATTAGCTCCACCTTCAACAGCTGCAACATTAAAGTGATGTACACATTAATGCATTAATAATTATAATCCGTTATGATTCAGAAATGAGTCATTCTACATAATGAGTACTTTTAATTTTGGTAGTTAAATGACAACATTACTAATCTGAACACTGCTGTAAAGTCAGATACATACAGAAGTGTAACTCTGTTGATCTGAACCTTTTTCCCTATTTTTTTCTGTAATTGAATACACTTACAGTGACATATATTTTATTCATATTTCACATTATATTCAAAACTGTACAATGAACGCAAAGAGTGAATACAATAACTTTAAGAAGTTTGTTTAAAACGAGTGATTGGGATGAATATTGAGCAGATTATTATCTGTCTAGAGATCTTTTAATACAATTATCTGTCTGTATGATGTGTTTTTAATCATGTTTAACAATCATACATAATATAGGCTTCTATTAGACAGTTTCTATTAGACAACATTTACTTTTCTTCACAGACGTGAACCAAATGCTTAGATATAGGAATACTGTGTATGTTTTTAAAGTTTTCTTACACGCCTTAACATCAAGAAGTCCCCGCGACCTCCCATGAAGCTTTGTCGACCCCTAGTGGGGGTCTTTTATGACTTTAGTGAATGAGAATCTCCAACCTCTGATACAATGAAAACTGATTGATTGATTGATTTAGTGCTTTGTGGTTTAACGTGCTGTAAAGTTAAATATACAACTCTGGGTATATGATCCATGTAGATGTAATCACCACTGGGAAAATTTAATTAAGCTACATTTAAAAAGTAGTTCAGGCAGTTTAATAAAGGAGAGGACATCAATCTGCTCATAAGACGGAGGCTTTGTCTTTTATGGGGATGTATGAGTGTTTACATCAGAAAGAGAGAGAGGGGGAATATGTGGGGAGCTCATGTTTTATGTTGCTGCTTTCATGGAAATTAAAACATAATGAACTGAAGTGAGAGAGGGGCTGAACACACACACAAACAACACACACACTCCCTCTCTTGCTCTTTCTCTCTCTTTCTGTGTGTGTGTGTGTGTACCCCCTTCCTCTCTCAGACCACTGCTCCTCTTTAACCACACAGCGAACAATCAATGCTTTCCTCACAGCTCTACTTTCGGGTTTTATCGATATGAAACAGGAGGAGATGACACACAGTAGAAGCTGACACATCGTGTTTTCAACCCCTCCGTGAAGCCGCCGTTATCTTTCAACAAGAAACCCGCATTTACGTAAGTAGAATGACCTTTTTCATTTTTCGCCATCCTTATATTTCCTCGACAGCTCCTCTGAACGCACAAACAAAACACGGCGATGCTTTAGTTTCGGTCTAATTCATCATTTTGGGGGATTTATCTTTAACGACTGGCGACCACTGCGTCAGAAATCGATATATTTTTAAACGCTGTCGATATAAAACAATATATAATCGTGAGCTACGTTTCTAGTCGGCCTCTGTTTCCAGCGGACCGACGTGACTGTAGTTCGTTCACCGGGTCGTATCCTGTCACTCGATGCTACGAAACGCAACGAAAAGACTACAAGTCCCAGCGAGAGGAGACGCGATGTGGCGTTCAAACGCTCACGAAAATGTTGTAAAAAGTAGTATTAACCTAGCTACAGCTCGAGTGACGACCGTGGTGGATTCCTAAAAGGAGGCTTTTCTTTGACTTTATAAGGAGAAATACAACCGCGGAACCAGGTATGTAAGTTACCTGCGGTTGTTGTTTATGTTACTAACAGTGCTGGTTAATATAATATGTGGTTGTAGCCTATTCTAGCCGCCCAATCGCAACCGAAGCTGTATTTTACTTTAAAAAAAACTGTGAAAAACGAGCTTAGCCGGTGCGTTTGAACGCGGCACACGTTCACGCGGCGCTTAGCCTTGACGTTTCCGGTGACGTCATAGGTCGGTGCCTCAGAAGCTGCTGTTTGTTTTGATTCAGTTCAACTAAAAAAACAAACATAATGTTTCACTGCTGATTTAATTCTTATGCGTCCACATCGAGAAATAAACGATGTGTCTTTCACCCTCGGAGAGAAGTAAGTTAATGCGAGCTGATTTAATCGGTTATGGTTAAAAAAACACTAATGAGAACATTTGAGTTCAGTGGAGCTAAAAACAGATCAATAATAACAAATAACAGACTTTAACAGGCTTTTAAAAACCGCCAACATTCAAAGCAAACGTAACGTTATCCGGTCATTGTCTGTGTTGTTCTCTGACTGTCAGCTATTATATTTATTATTATATTAAAATCCACGTTTAAAATTCAAAGTCTTTAAAGTTTTTCAAAGTTTTTCAAAATAAAGTTCACATGGCCTCGAGTAATCAGCCAATTTAACTAACTTCTCTTTTAGTTTGTAGCATCAGATACATGATTTCACACCAGCTTGTTCAATAAAATGTAGATACAAAGAAAGAGTAAATGAAATGTGTTCTCGTCTCTCATATCTTTAACCCTTTACTTTCTCTCTGTGTTTTTTTGACAACAATTTTTCTATTTTATGTTATCTATTGATCAGTACAGATTTTGTTATCCTATGACAGATTATATAGATAGATAGATAGATAGATGAGATAGATATAGATATCTTTTTAATTGATTCGCCTGAGGTGACAATTTCAAATGCATCCAGGTAAGCATACAATTATACAAACATACATTAAACTACAAAACCCTGACCTTAAGAACAGAATCAAAAATAAGATAAGATATAAAGTATTATGTTTGTATATAATATATCAAATTAACAGTAGCTCCAGTATGTAATGAGTTAATGAGTAATCATTTATTATCCAGCCAACATTCAGTCTCTCTGAGTATCTTTGGACTGTCGACCTTTGGGAACTTGTCATCTTTAACCATTTTCTGATGATTTATAGAATAAACAAACAGTTAAAGAGAATAAAAAAGTAATTCATAATTATTTGTTTATAAAAAAAACTTTAATAAAATGTCTGACAACTAATAGATTGATGTTTTCTCTTTATTAACTCCCCTCTAATATCTCCCTCCTCCTCCCCCCAGCCACCCCATGTTCCTCCGCCAGCTGAGCTCCTTCGGCTCCTCCTTCCTTCCTCGCCGCCGTCCCGCTCTCTGCAGGGCCGGCTTCAGGAGCAGCAGTGCCTCCTCCTCCTCCTCCAACCTCCCCCATTTCATCCCCGCTCCTCATCCATGTTGGTCAGTGCGGGGCTTTCCCCCCTGGCCTCCTCGACTCCCCCACTCCCACCCAGCGGCGCACCAGATCCTTTCTTCTAGGACCTCACGCCCTCAGAGCTTCAACCCGGCTAACTTCGGCGGTAGGCGTTCGTTCTTCACCTCTGCCGGCCTCATGATGGAGCGGCCCACCAGAGACAGAGAGCCTCCTCACAAACGGAGGAAGAGTGCAGAGGAGAGCAGGAGCGTCGGAGAAAGGGAAGGACACAGAGGTGGAGCAGCAGGAGGCAGGGACGGAGGCTCCGAGAGGGAGCACCGTCGCCTGGATTCCCGCGCAGACAGCCGGCCTCGATCCAACCACCGCTTCAAAGATGGGAGTCGAGACCGAGGGAACAACGCAGCCGGAGCGGGCGTCAGCAGGGAAAACAGCAGAGGTAAATATGTAGAAAGGACTAGAACTGGGGACAAACAGGGACGGCGAACAGACAGCGCCGCTCGAGATGAATCCCAAAGTCGAGGGCGTAAAGATTCACAACCTGCTAGGACTCAACCCGTGCACAAACCCAACCCCTGGTTCAAAGAGAGGAGCGCAGAGGGAACAGCGGGGCACTCGAGGGACAGGAGCAGTGATGGAGGGGAGTGGCCGAGTCTTCCCTCCCACCACGACAGCACCTCTGTCCCCTCAAACCCGTGGCAGGTAGTCGGAGCCAGCAGGGAGCCTCCTCCACCTGGAACCTCCCCGCCTGTCAGGCAACGCAAAGACGTTAAACCAGCCAAATGTAAGTCAAGGAGTTTTTATTTGTCTGGACATTTGTTGTAAAAGGTTTACTTTTGCAACAAATGTGCAGTCAAGGAGGGTCATCCAAGACTTGTCTCCTGTGTAGCGACCAAATTCACATTCATGCTCCTTTTCTTCTCCTGTGAAGTAAACCTGTGATGTCTTTTTTACCTTATACAATTGGCTGTTTGAGTACAGAGACAAAATGTGGAAACATTAGCCGTGCAACAAAGGCTCAAACAGCCAAGAATGTCACAGTCACATGGGGACGCCTCAGGTTTAATTATTTCAGTTTGGGTATATAACAGTTGTTTTTCTTTTTACAAACAAAATGCCATGAAGCCATTTTAAAACAATGATATAATCAAATGAAAAATTGACACATAGTTGCTTTAAATCCTCAAAGTCGAGCACTTTACCAAAGGTCCCCTCAGTGCATCAATAAAGGATTATTTTATCTTATCTTATGTGTAACTTGATGTCATAAACGTCAAGAGAACATCGTTGTAAATCTGTTGTTATGAGTTCATCATCAACTAATTTCTACTAAATCATTTGGACATGAAACCTCCTTAACTCTTCTGTTAATCTTCCCTTTCTCCTCCTTCCTCTCCTCTCTCTCTCTCCTCAGCTCTTCATAGACACTGGGAGACTCCGGCCTGCAGTACTGGCGTCCAACCACCAGGGGGCAGCGCAGCGTTTGATTTCTCAGTGATGTCCTACAACATCCTGTCCCAGGAGCTGCTCCAGGACAACGCCTACCTGTACCGACACTGTAACCCCGCCGTGCTGCACTGGAACCACCGGCTGCCCAACCTGCTGGCTGAGATCCAGCAGTACAACGCTGATGTGAGGGGATTAGACCGCAAGAAACCTTAAAAGAGATCACTCACATATGTGATTGTTGCTTTATTCTAAAACCAGAGGCTTTAATATGCTGCTGTGAAAACCTCCGTTCTGGGATTCATTCATTCATTAAATACATAAACATCTTAGCTTCGTGATTAATGATCAAGACGACAGCGATTTGATGGAAAATCTCTTTTTCTAGATCCTGTGTCTTCAAGAAGTCCAGGAGGACCACTATGAAAACCAGATCAAACCTGCTCTACAGGCTCTAGGTAAGTGTGTGTGTGTGTGTGTGTGTGTGTGTCTCTTCTTTTTGTGGGTGAAGATATGGTGGATGATGGAAAATATTTAAAATCCAAAAATGCATTTTCACGTTTGCATTAAATGTGCTTTTATTCTGAAATAATAAACTGTGTGTGTGTGTGTGTGTGTCAGGTTACCAGTGTGAGTACAAGAAGCGAACAGGAAGCAAACCAGACGGTTGCGCCGTAATCTTTAAATCCTCCCGCCTGTCGCTCCTCTCCTCCAATCCCGTTGAGTATTTCCGGCCCGGCGACGCCCTCCTTGACCGGGACAACGTGGGATTGGTTGTGCTGCTGCAACTTAACGACGCCACGGGCCAGTCGGATCCCTCCGCCTTCATCTGCGTCGCCAACACTCACCTCCTCTACAACCCTCGCCGCGGCGACATCAAACTGGCACAGCTGGCGATCCTATTGGCCGAGATCAGCCGGCTGTCCCGCCTCCCGGATGGGTCAACCAATCCGGTTGTGCTGTGTGGGGATTTTAACTCCACCCCCCGGAGTCCGCTGTACAGCTTTCTGACCACAGGCAGCCTGGACTACAGAGGACTGCAGATCGGCACGGTGAGACACACACACACACACACACACGCACACACGCACACACTAGTGCTGAAAG